TGCTACTAACTAGATCTAACGATAGACATCAGAGATACATTTTTTTCTTAAGAATATTTTCATTCTGCTGTGCCAGGAAATATTCACACAATTTGATACTCTACTATAATAACGATATATAATATTTTAACGTTATGTACTAGGTAAATCCCCGAAGCTCAACATGGTACAATCCAGTCCGAACCGACGTCATCCAGATTCGTGACGTCATTTAATGACAGAAAATGGCGACAAACAAGGGGAACTGGAACGCTTTGCCCAGTGTTATCGTTGTAGAAATCCTTTCCTTATTGCCAAAGAGAGACCGCGTCCACGCAGCTACAACATGAAGAGCTGGAGAGCTTGTCTTTTTCACCCTGGGCTGTGGAACCGTCTAGATTTGAAGCTAAATACGCCACAACAGATGGCCAGGTAGGTGTGCCATCATGCTGACCGTTTCTTCCATGTTGCACCAGCATGGAGGAAATTTTGCAGTGACAGCTCGCTTGAGCTGGCGGTTTGAGCCAGATTTTAAAGTTGGATTTAGGTAAATCCTCTATTTTATCTTCAGCATGCATCTGCAATGCTGCATGTTCGTTGACACGAATATTTCCCGTCTCTGTTTTTCCAGGGCGCAGTTTCTCGCTACAAAATGCGCGGGTTTCGCACGAGAGCTGTCGCTGGAATGGCCGCACGACGCCGACAAGGTGGACGAGACGTGCCGCAACATCATCATGAGAAAAGCGCTGGCCGTGCTCAAGATGGCCAAGAACAACAGGAACCTGGAGAAGTTCTGTCTGAAGTGCTGCGGGTGTGATCTTCTGGGCGACTCGCAAGAGGACGAAGACATCATAACAGAGTAAGTGGCGGATGTAAACAACCTTACGCCGGACACTGTCGCAGTGTCATTTTTCATCGCTAGGCTAGTCTGCATGTAACGATTGTAACGCCCGGTTCTTTTTGCAGAGAAACTTTCGGAAATCCATCAACCAAATTCCATTCTGTAATCGCAGCCATCAAGGTGGAAAATAGGTATTTTTAAAAGGAAAATACCATGTATAAAGAACGCCTTTGATTTTTGAGGCCCGCGAAAGGGGCGTGTCGCAGGATGCAGTGCTATACTGTTGCACCCAGCTCACAACCTTAGGTTTCTCACAACGTTCTTCACGCAATATCCCACGTTATACTATATAAGAACAATAACCAGAATTGAAGGACTTGAAGCTGATTATAAATTCTTAGGAATCCCATATGGATATTATTGCATTCCATCTTTATATTATATCATGGTTGGTAAAATATGTTATTACTAGTACTAGAGTAGGTATTGTCAACAGTGGGTCTATCTTTGCAATTGTTTGTGCTTCTTTGTTGCAAATTATTTTCTTGTAGTCCCTCTTACACCTTAATTGCATTGCACAATGAATACAGTTACTATAGGCTTTTGTTTTCTTCCCAATTTTGCCCCAGTATGAAAATGCAAATTGCTTTGAGGACCATGAAAGGTTGTTAAAGTAGTAATGTTACTCTTTGTCAGTTTGCATGTTATTGAATTGGTTTACTTTAGATGATAACTAGAACTGGCAAAATGATTTTAATTTCAGCATGTTGGTTTAATGTTTGATACCCTAGCAGGTAAATCGTTCAGCAGACTTGAGTGACTTGGTTAGAAGTATTAACTGTATACCGTAAATCACTCTACATTTGTGTGGTTTTTGTGGTCACTTCTGTACCCCGGATCTATCAATATCATTACCACGAACAAATAATTTGCCAACTTCTGCACCTGCCGCCACTGCGAACATATAGTTCCACGAGCATGTCCATTTTTATCAGACCGCGAAGTTTCGCTACTGTGAATATAAAGTGATTTACAGTATTGGCGAAGTCCCCAAACAGGCTATTGTATCGTATGTGTGTATAGGGTTACAGTTGGATGTGCTATCTCCCACAGTCTGAGACAACCGTGACAACAAATCTGGGTCTAACACATATTTCTCCCTTGCTATATTTACTGCAGGCTGCAATACGTGATCTCCTTGATTCTGAGTGGTGCCAAGAACCTGAAGTACCTGTCCTTCGGCTACTGCGTGGAGATTTTCGACTCCTCCACCATCCAGGCTGTGGCCAAGTCGTGCGGTCAGTCCCTCCACACGCTGCATGCTGCTACCCTGTACCCCGAGGAGCAGGCTCAGAGCCTTTTCACACACCCCACCTTGCAGTCTCTCCGACAACTGCAGGTGCTGAGTCTGGACTTTGAAGAGCTGAGTAACGAGATCCTCTCGGTCATGTGCAACAACGGGAACCGGGCGCCCCTCCAGAACTTGATCCTCCTGCAAGACGGCGAGCCCGTCAACCTCCCGAACATCCGGGACCGTGTCTGGCACCTGTTCGCCGCCAGTAACCCGGACGCGGAGGTGACGCTGACCCTGCTGCGCGTGCCGTCGGGGCTCGGCGACTACCTGAGCCCCAGCATGCCGCTGGGGACACTGCGGGCGCTGTACTGCGGGGAGGTGGACAGGACCAGTCTGGACTTTGTGTCCCGCCATCACTGCAAGACCCTGAGGAGTCTGACCCTCTGTGAGTGGATGGACTGCGGGGCGACGTACTCCCTCATCCCGGACAACGCCATGGGGGAGGACCCGCTGGTCATGCTGGCCTGGAGATGCACCAACCTGACCAACCTGTCAATCATAGGTCAGTCACCTTTCATTTGTCCACATTCAGATTGTGGATGTTGAAATCTTTGCCTTTATCTTTATTGCCTCCATCAGAAGGGTATAGAATCAGTTTGCTTTAGTGTACTTAGCAGCATAACTCTTGAAGGCATGGATCAATGTTCATAATTTTTGGCAGGCAGGTTACCATTGGGGAGACCAAGGTCAAGTTGAAAAATGGGCTTCGTAGGTCCAGTAGGCAGCGGGCTAGCTGATAACATTCACCACATATCGTAATACATATTAAATCAATGATGAACGCAACATAAATATGATCATGATAAAATTGGAATTGGAAAGATGTTGAAATTGGGAGATTGGATTCCTGAAATTGGATTCCCTATCTTCAAGCTTGTCTTCTTGCTTCTGATGAACAAAATTACTCAATTATTTTCTTATGATGGCCCTTGTTCCCTTAGAAGGATGCCATATATTTCATTACCTTGAGGTAATTATGTTTACCTTTGCAGAAGGAAAACATGTTGTTTTTGCTCTGTTTCTTCTTCCTCTTCTTCTTCAAACAAATAAGGTCAATGACCTGAACCAGACATCTGTCACATGGTAACTAGTGTTGGATTACATCATGTTGCGATTTTATAGCAGGAGGGATTTAGACTCCAGTGTCACCATATGAATGTGTTTGAGTATGAATTAACAGAGCAGACCATATGTGAAGGTAAACATTATGCATTTGCTTTGCAAATGTTAACCTTTCTATAGCTAGTTGAATACTTGACTCCCTATGTGTCCTCCAGGGTATGAATTTTCCAAGGACAGCCTGGTTGCTGTAGCGCGCCTGCGGGGAAGCCAACTCCGGTCTCTGGAAGTCTCCGTCTCCTGCATCGTGGAAACTGACGACGATGATGATGAAGAGGAGGAAGACGAAGATGAAGTCATTCTTGACGACGGAGCCATGTCTATGGACACTCTCCGGCAACAGGTGAGACAGGCCAGCTTAGCATCTACTAGAGTATGGTGCTGCTTTTCTCATTGTAAGTGTCAGGGTTCTAGCTAGTGCAAAGTAGCGTAGGGGCCCCCTACGCTATAATTTTGACCCCCTACGCTATAATTTTGACCCTCTACACTAAATTTCCCCCCTATGCTAATTTTTAATACAGCATAGGGGCATTGTGACTGTATTTCTTTGTTCAAGAATGCCAGATCAAATGTGAAAATCAAGGATACATTGTACATACCTTAGAAATAACATTTTTTCCCTAAAATGGGTATCCCTCAAAGGGCCTCTCAAATCTTTAAAAGCTCCGCTTCGCTCCCTCATGATGCAGCCAGTGCCACTACGCTAAAATTGAATCCTAGATAGAACCCTGAGTGTTGTTAACTTGCAAGGCAACTGAACAGAAATCAGCCTTGTAATTCCCAGTTTAAGGAATCTACATTTTTATTTACTTGTGGAAGGAGATATCTTTCTGCGGAAAGGTTCTGTTTCTGTTGAGTATTTGTTTGTTTGCAGCTGTAGCTCTCGGTGGGTTGGATGTCTTTGGTTCTCGGTATATGATTCTAGCTATTTGGGTACAGATGATGTGGATCTGTTTTTTTTTCAATGTATATGTGTTTCTGAATTTTTTTAGAAGTTTGCTGTAATCATCATGCGTTGTATATGTCCCAGGGGTTTTGGAATCTCAGATTTCTTATTCCATATTGAATTTTGCACCATATCTTTTATTTTATGAATTATGGTCTTTATTGTACTCTTACTTGGTCTTTCATACAATAAAATGTTCCAACAGCCCAGCCAGCTTGCTGAAGGCCCCATGTGTCACGTTTAACACTGAATGTTGAGGTTTTATGATGTTGTTGTTATCAGGTATCAGAGAGCCTTGGTTGGAGCTGGGCCCCTGCCATGTACACACCTGACATCAGCACCATCCTGCTAGAGGACCTGCAGGTCCAGGGCAACTAGTCAACACCTCTCACGTACTACAAGCCAAAGCCGGTTTCAAACAACTACAACAGAAGAAGAAGACCCCAGGCAAGGCTTGTTGCAGGCACACACCATGTAAAGCCTGAGACAGTGTTTTAGTCAGGCCTAGCAAAAAAAAAAAAATGTTGTGTTTCCTGTTTCCCGACCGACCCTAGAAAAAAATACTGCCAACTCTAGCCTTTTTTTGTATGTGGACCCCTGCAGGGGACATACTTTTTCGGGCTGATGAACCTTTTCTAGCTCCATGTTCTTACACCTGTGTGATGATTGTACAATCAGTTTTCCAACATTGATATTGAAAAATATTATGTCATGCAAGTTTTACTTTTTTAGACTGTATTGTATAAGTTGGATCACTAGAGATCGCCAAAAAAAGATAATCCCTACCTACTGACCATAATTTTTCAGGACTTAAACAGGAAAAGCAACAGTTTTTTTTCTAGGCCTTATCACCTATCAGTGTTGTTTTATTTTATTCTTTGCAAAGTTTTACACTTAGGTTTAAGATTTTATGTTTCCTCATCAGGTCATGATTTATTGATCATATCATATCATACATTTCATGTGTCATGACTAAAACTGAAAAATAACATAGCCGTATTATTTTCATATACATAATCATCATGTTGTATAAAAGATAACTTTCTTTTATTTGTATTTACACCACTAGCAATAGCAATAGCTTACAACCAGTGTATACCTTATGCTCAAATTTTTACTTAATTAATAGTATCATAATTTTCACAAGTGTGCGCCATTCAGCCAAAAAAAACAAGCACAATAACTATATGCCAAAATACAAGCAAAATTTCATAACTCATCTACAGAATCTAAGAGGAGACAACAGCCAGCATTATATTATTACACACATGTACCACAAAATCTAACAAATTACAATTATTACACTCCAAAGCACAGTTAAATGAACAGTGAGGACTGCATTGTCACTGTCAGTGCCCACTTCAAATCCTGCAAAGTAAGAAAAACTAATCAAAAGTGCAGTCAGTTAATATGAACAGTGAGTGGAAAACTGACATTGATAATCATATAACCTCACTGTATAAACCAGAGATACTGCAATGCTGCCATATACCTTTGCCTCAAAAGCACTTGGAATATATAATAAGGATTCCATCAAGTCATCTCTTATAACAGGTTACAAATTAAGTTGTATTAATTTTGATAACCTTTTCAGGTATCCATAAGAGGTGGTATTGTGTACTACGGGTAGAGGTTGTTGCATATGATATTTACATCAGTCTATGATATTGTAACTTCCTTGACAGAAGCTGAAGGAAGAATCGTTAACAAGCCAGTATCATCAGCAGAAAAAATAAGATCATGTTATATCCTTATTTATAAAAGAGATGCACAAGTTATTTAAAGTCATGGCTCACAGAGCATTACATGACAAAAATGTGTGACAGTAACTCAGACGTTCCTTCTACAAGATGGTTTCCATCACTGTTGCTGATATGCCAAAGAACGTCATCAGTGCTGTCACTCAAACAACGTTGTACCATACAAGATTCCAACAAACACTCAAAGCTATTTGTGCAATAATACGAGAATATTATTAAGGGGCATTTAAAGGAACGTTTAAAGAAAACATCAGGACATTCCTGCACACGATTTAAGTGCGTGTATAAGAAGACATCATCCCCCTCGAAACCATCACATTTATTTTCAGGTGTCAGTAACATAGCTGGGAAGTCTACTGAAGTCTTGCTATGCCGGGTTCCAGGCTCACAATGCCAAAGAAGTTGCTTAGTTGTCTTTTTAATTTTGTCTTGGGTGTTGCTAAGTTGTATCCTTTTCTTCCAAGTGTATCTTGTTCTAGAAGCATGTCCGCATGTATAATCTGGAATGAAGGAATTTTTGGATTGGAGTTGCTCCTCTTCTTTACGCACAATACTTGGAAGGTATGAAATTTTCTGTGCTAAACCACACAGGAGCACAACAACCAAAAGATGACTGAAACGTAATGAAATAGTAATCTAGAATATGCAAATGTTGTAAGCCTGAGCAGACCTGGCATCGCAAGAACAGTGTAGACCATCAGACGTGTGTTACAAAGTGGGGATTCAATCAGGAAGAGGACACTGACAACATGAGTTGTTGATGCTAGATTTACATGTTACTGCATCTAAAGTGTTTTAGCTTTAGTTTTAACCTGTGGTCATCCTTTAGATTGTGTTGATTGTAGATGTGACCATCTACACATGTAGCGTAGAGAGCTACATGTACATACGTGGAGTGTTTGTTATTAGTTTAAAAGACACTAACAGAGTATGTCAATTAATCATTTTTTTCTTCATCCTAACAACTTTAAAACACAACATTCTTATGCATTCCAGTGATATGGTTGACGTCAACTGTTCTTACAGACAGCAGTTACATACTTTTTTTGTACGTGTACTTGAGAGGTCTAATGCAAAAAGTTAGGTAAAGCAAAAATACACAGGATGAGCTGAAAGCTTTCATGTTTTCCCGTGATAATGGTTAGAAAAGCTTTATGACAAGGCCAGATGGACAGAGAAGAAGCTTGGTTAATATATGTGATATGCAGAAATTCAGAACTGCCAGTGCAGTTTAACAACCAAAGCACTGCACAACTGCCAAACCAAAGATACAAAGTACCAAACAGGCATTCTGAAAACGGTTTCATCAGAAACTTTTATGAGATATCAACAATACAAAGATTTCTAGATAGATCAATTATATATATAATCTATATACCATAACCAGTGTAGAATTGATGTTGCCCTTGAACATGAAAATGATGTAAATCTTTCTAATTTAGCACAAAGAAATCACAAGCCGCCATTACTAGTGATTTTCCATGATATTTTTGTAAATACATCTTTATACCTTTAATCACTATGATTATCAGAGATTCATAAGGCTGTTTCATGACTATTGATAGTCGTGCATATTTGGATTTTCGTCATTTTGGTTTAACTTATCAGTTAACTTAGCGATTTGTATTCTTCACATTGGATAAAGCTAAAGCATCATAGTATGTCTAATACATGGTTTTAGTGCATTAAGTATGTATGATAATGATATACCATAATTTTACACACATTTTCAAGGGCAAGGTCAAAATCAAACCAGATACCAAACTGATGATAAAAAAAAACTGTCTAGTAAGTAAGGTATAATCAATGTTGTAGTGAATCAGTAGTATCGTGTGATTGTAATTTAGAAGAGACAACTATAATAGAACAACCAAAAGACCAAAGAGGCATGTGAACTGCCACACACAACACCAAAGACCAATTTAGAAGTGAAACGACCAACAGCTTCAATGTCGTGTATGAAAACCACAGCTGTAAGGCTATTGTATCGCTGTCATGTCATCATCCAAATGTTGTGTGAGTCATGTTCAAATGGTCTGTTTAAAAGTTTAACAACTCGTCTAAAAATCTGAATTGCACCTATGATGATGAGAAACATGTCTTTTGGGTTTCATCTGTACACGTGGTACAAGTGACTTCATCATAAATCATAATTCAGAAACTCTTTAGTTGGGCTGTATTAATAATCAATATTTGGCAAATGTTTATGTTGTGGTGTTTTCAACATTGCTTCAAATTTAGCCAAAAAAGCCCAATAAAACAATTCTAAAAGCCTGTATCAAGAAAATGAAAAAGAAATGCATGGGGATGATATTTACCCAATCTAGTCCATACAGGTTATTTGGCCCCAAAATGAAGAAATTAAATCCATTTAACAAAATGGCAGGAGTAGGAGAGGAAACATCAAGGAAACAATACCTGTATATTTAATCCATACCATGGTAGTACTGAAATAAAAAGACAATGGTTCTCATCATCCCATTGATTGCTTTGGTGCAGTGTCAAATTTTGGACGTCATTGTTGACCTATGACCACAGTATCAGATATCACCACTATCTGTTGATGTTGTCAGCCATTGACTGAATAACCACTATGTTATATTTATGATATACATAATTATGTACACCAATACATGAAACTGTTACATCAATCCAGATGACATGTTAGATAAGTTTATGATGTGACACATGAAGGAATATGTTACCAACGGTGGAAGGTCCAGCCTTTGCAATTCCAAAGCAGCTGCAAATTAACAAATTTGTCAAACTTAACTTTGCTTAGACGTATTTTGATATCAATAATTTTAATAAGAGATTAGAAACTTCAGTCAGATAATCACTTTCAAAGGACGTATGTCATGTATGTAACATTTTTAGGCCACACCAATTTAATTTGTTGGTTCTCGGATTTTTTCAGAAAAAATATGAAGCGACAGGGCGAAAAAAAAATAAAAATAAAAACAGGTCTAGGCATCCTATATTATAGCCCCAAATGCTACAATATGAGCCATGAAGTCAACAAAAAAGGCTGGGTTAAAATTTAAAGTATAAATTTTGAACTTTTAATCAAACCACTGCATTGATAGATGGAAAAACTGTAACAACTAGGAAGAAAAGGAATTTCCTCAACTGTTGGGGGCAAAATATGAGCATTTTTAAGTTGATTCAGAACCAGAATCTTTTTTTTTTTTTTTGCAAATCAGAAAAAAATGAAGAGGCGAATCCGAGAACCAACAAATTAAATTGGTGTGGCCTTAATTGGACATTTAGTTCACAATCATTTAAGAATGAGCACAATCATTTAAAAATTAGTAATATCTCATCAATATTGAAAGTTTTGTTTGCAACATTCGGTTACTTTGCAGATGCTTTGGTCATGCAGTGGACACCAGTTCGAGTTGTGCTTTGCAATGCAAAAACTCTGATGCATTATCTTCTATGAAGAACATTGAACAACTAGCATGCAACATGAGACATTTGTTAACGACCTGCATCTCCCTAAAAAAGCCATGTACGATGCATTGTAACTTTCAGAAAGGCAGCGCCTAACTACCATGAATGTTTGACACGATCTCTATCTGTGATTAAATGTTGCTCAGTTGTGATCATGTGAAGAAGAAGCAAAGAGGTCTTCAGGTTCAAGTGAAGAAATCTTGACGACTGTGCACACGCGTGGCTGGCAGCTCCGCTTCTGCAGTATATATTTTTCTATCAAAGAGACATAGCATGGGAAGGAGACCACCAATAAGTGCCATGGTAGCCAAGATAAAAATTACAATTTGAGGATTCAAGATGATCAGAGAAGGCAGCGGATGGAGGCTGCCAGCCACAGATGTGCTCGGCAGTTGGTCCCAGTGCTTTACCACAGTGTAATAAAATCAGCCGACAGGAATCTGAACAAAATGTATGCAAATGTACCATCTGTGACTATGCTCCAAATGCATTCTGGGACCACAAAGTGGCCTACTGTGACTACATCTATGTTTGAAGGAGAGAGTAGAAGACGTGTACTAGTGTGCCAGCTGTTTCCTCCAGCGAGTTGGAGTTCGAATGATGTACTTCTAAAACAATTGTACAGTAGTGCAGTTTTTTCCCCAATCTTACTGCACCACAAGCAGTGAGAAATACAAAGGATTGTGCAGGAAGTTGGGTACCTAACTAAAAAAAGGCAGCTAGCTGGTGTCCTGGCCAACTCACTGGAGGGAATAGCTGCCACACGCTCTAAGACATGCTGCTATAGCACAACGAACCAAAGCCGGCCGTGCCTAGCATGGGCCGTTCACTTTGTTTGACACCTTAAATAATGCCACAAATGGCACTTTGAACTGGTGTGTCAAGTGTGAACCAACAGTATTAACAAGTCTGCAAAGCAAGGCGGTATAATCTGTGTCTAGACAAAGTTGTGAAGACGTCTGTGATAATTGTTACATGTGATATTAGGGACAAAGTCGAACCGCGGTATGTGTCGTGTAGAATGTAGATGTCACAGTTGTAAGTAGGTAGGGAAAATTTCTTCTTATGGACTTTCTTAGCCTTTGATGTGTTTGTCTAGGGAAGAGACCTTGGAAGAACTAAATTCCTGATGCAATGAATATGATGCCCTGGGCAGCACTGAAAGGCTTTTAAAGATGAGATGAAGACTATCTCTGTTCTGTATGATGAATGGTGTGTTTACATTGAGCGTCAAAGAATTTATGTGATTGCTTCCAGCAGTTTAAATTACCTTTGCATATACATGTATTCTATTAAAGAGAGTCAAAACTTGTTTTACATAGGCAGGGCATTCATTGGAATGTTTTGAAAGAGTTTGAAAATTTGGCAAAAGAAGGGATTGTTTTATCATCAGTTGGGATAGTTTTATTTTTTTTATCTACCTCAATTGCAGTCAAATATTGATGTAGGAGCTGTTGCATGTGTTCAAATTTTTGGTGTCTAATAAGAACTGGAGGCTAACTGTTGCCTGTGTTACGTACAAACGTGTATGAACACAAGCCAATAGAGCCCCAGTGTACATTTTAGTACAAGCAGAAGTAAATCTATGTGTGCTGTAAACATAAAAAATTTTCTTGAATAGTGAGTACATCGTCAATGTCAATGAGATATGAGAGCACAAATGTGCATGGAGTTCTCACATGATACTGCCTTGCGTCTTTAAAGGCCTTGTCAGTATCTGCAGTTTTGTTGGATTGTGTTATATATTAGACTATATGTTATGTTGTGACAGAAGATTTGCCAGTCAATTGTATGTTACTGAGATGATGGGCAAGACTGTATGTTGGTTCTTGGTTTCCTGATGTTTCAAAACACCTGCACAGCTACGGCTGTCCTGAGGTTAGTGAACAAGCAAGGGACAGGTCCTTCTGTTGCTGTATGTGTATGTTTGAAATTTGGTTAAATAAAGTATATGGACGTTATTATGATTCGTTTCTTGCTTATTTGTTACCTTTGCCAGGAGGTTAATGTTTTTGGCAGCGTTTGTATGACGTGTGTATGTATGTATGTATGTTTGTGGTTTAGCACGAAACCCCTCAAAAAGCTATGGGTGGATTGTCGTAGTTGGTAGATCGTTATGAGACCTCAAAATAATTACCTTCTGGGATCCCTAGCAGAGCTTCCGTTTTTCCGCTAGCACATAATTCCTTGGTTTAATTATTTCTTCTGAAACCCTACCATTTGCATTTCTATATTGCATTGCCAATTTAGGGAAACAGGTACAAAATCTGACAGTTTGTGACGCTTGCTGTTGAAATCGCCACGGATCAAAAACGCCCCGCAGCGGCAAAAAAAATCACTGCAGTAATAGGTTAACCGTCCATGTGCATCAATTTAAGGCACATGGCGCGCAGCTCCAGATGTTGAAATCGCCATGGAGCAAGTCAGCCAACATTTTAAAAAATAACCATTTCTTGCACTATCATACTCCTCCAGATGGCAAAAATCCTGCTTAGACTACATTTCTGCCATATTATCTTGGTCAAATTCTTTCCTCTGAAAGTCGTCCATTTTTATTGCTATTTATTACCAATTTAGGGGAAAAAAGTAGCAAATCTGAAAGACTGAAACCTGAACCGTTCAAATCGCCATGGATCAAAAACGCCTCCTAGCGGCAGAAAGCAATCATTGCAGTAGAAGGCGCTTCTGGATAAAATTATGGTGTAGTCCTGCATTGAACTGCTAGAGGACGCTTTTGATCAATGCACTTCACCGTCGTTGTTAGACTCCGCAGCCTGATTGGGGTTATTACCTTCGCCAAGAAAGTTATGTTTTTTTGGCGTGTTTTTAGGCTTTTTTTATCGGGGTTTCTTTTTTTGCACTGGGATTTTTTTTCATCCAACCCAGCTTAATATTACTAATAATTAGATTTGGCTGTTTAGAACACCTGTGTAAAGAAAACACGTGGTTCGTTGAAAATGGTGGTTGCTACGACAGGAAAGCACAGGATGTAATTTTGTACAACTTTCCGGGTACTTTTTCAAGTTTTTGTTGGCAGAATGTCTTTGGAAACTACATGGTAGATATATGGGGAGCTTTTGCAGTACGTTTATTGCCATTCTCATGGTGTTGGGAGGAGAAAATGCGGATTTCCTGACCTGGAGAATTTTGGGGAAGACAACAAAATGGCGAGATAGCCAGGAAGAAGTGCGCGGTTTGAAGATGACTTCGTTTTTTCCTACAGGTAAGCAACAGACTATTTGGCTGACGTTATTCCCTAGCACCGAGGCAAATATACAAAAGTGCGGAGGGCGTTACTTTTGTATATTTGCAGCACCGAGTATGAACATGTCAAATTTAACGATTTGTATGTTACGTAAAAATTGTGTATTTCTGTAACATTTGGGCTACCATTCCTGGGTTGAGAGCGGCTTTGAAAGAGTAAATTTTGCCGCGTTTCTTCCGTTCATGGTGTACGTTAAATGGATGTGTATAAGTCACATTTGCCAACCATACAACGTTGTGAATTCGTATTTGTACAAAGCAATACGAGAACAGAAACTATATTTTGTTTTTCTCGGCGTGGTTCAAACCACCTGTTGGAATGTGCACGTGTGCATAATTTAATCCCTCTGATGTTCCCTCCCAAACCTCGCGTAAACAAGGCTGGAAACTCAAAGGTTCAAATCGTCGAAACGAACACGGCAAAAAGTTTGGAAACTTCATCCTGTATTTTTTTTGTGGAAACGTGTAATAGAAAGACTGAGTTCACCGTTTTGATAGTTGAAGCTGTCTTCGTAATTAAATTAGAAGCTTTTTGGACAGGGCCGTTTGAACACCTGTGTGAAATAAGCACGTTTTGCATGGCTCATTGAAAATGGTGGTTTGGTACTCTGGAAATGTTCTGGGCTGTTATTTTTGTGCAACATTTCGGGTACTTTTTCGGGTTTTTGTCGACAGAATGCCTTTCCAAACTGTGGGGTAGAACAAATGGACATTTCCGAAGTAGATTAATTGCCGTTCTCGTGCATGTTTTAGGAGGAGAAATGCGGACTCCCCGACCTGGTGGACTTTCGGCAAGACAGCGACATGGCGAAGAATTTCGTGGGTTGGTGACGACGTCGCTTTTTCTTACAGGTAAAGAGCAAACTATTTTGCAGACATTATGTTAAAGAACACGTCATATTCAACAAGTTAATATTCCGCAAGAAATGGTGTAGTTCTGAGCGACCAATCCTGATATAGCCTTTGAAAATGTCATTTTGTCACGTTTTCTTGAACATTTTTCATGTGTGGTGTGTGATATCGAATTTGTAAAGAAAGAAAAAAGAATGCGCTCACAAAAACTGTCTTTTAATTTTCTCCTCGTGGTTCAAAATCACCCGATGGAATGTGCACGTGTCAGGTGTGCGTGATTAAATGGAACTCCATTTATAATGACTAAAGTCAAACATTTATTGGCATGGGTGCAATTGCATGGGCGGGTCGCAAGTGCTCAACCATTTTATTTGAATTTTGAATGTACAGCTTCAGATAAAGAGCTTTTAGTTTGTAGTCGCTGTTACATGTACTATCAATGTTTTATGTGGTCACTTTGGTCACTAATTTTTTCATGGTGTTTGTCAGTTTTGAAATTTACAAATGTTTTAGAACATCAACTTTAACCATGGCTTTTTACCAATGACAATCACATACATGTACAGTGTCATCTAGCAACCCGCATTTGATGAAATTATAATTGTTAACTTGTGATTATTTCTTCTCTTAGGTTCATGTAGGTATCTGTTTCCTGAGAGTTCTAGCTAGCTGTGCAAGCCATGTCCTGGGGAGAGGAGACTTGTAATGACAGAAGCACCAGATGATTGGATCCAGCAGTATCAGACCAGGTGAGAAAAATCTACATTCAGTATTTTACCTACTATTTACTTGGTTTCATTTGAGACAAGCTGTGTAACCTCTAACGTCATTAAGATAGGTGCCTGCTGACTGATGCAGTAGTGAAGACTATTGTCTGAACCTGACAAAACAGATTGGACCAGACCAGATGAATTGAAGACCAAAGATATAGATATCAGGTGAGAAAAATCTGAATTCTGCATTTTGCCTACAGCTACATGTATTTGGTGTTATTTGAGACAAGTGTGTAACTTCTAGTGTTGTTAAAGTTAGGTGGGTGCTGACTGATGCAGTAGTGAAGACTACTGTCTGAACCTGACAAAACAGATTGCCAACTGCTCCAAATCTGTTTCTGCAGAACTGTTCCTGTGCCACCTTCTCTGACCCTGGGGGGTGAACCCGTGCCAGTTGTGGACGCAGCAAAGGGTCTCGGGTTTATCCTTGACAAAGACCTCTCATTCAACGAGCAGGTCCACTCCATGGTGACTAAGGCATCCCGAAGACTGTACTACCTCAGACTCCTCACAAAGCAAGGCATGAGTGTTTCCGACCTCACTCAGGTGTACCTAGCCTTGATCAGACCGGTGCTGGAGTACGGTCACGTGCTCTTAGTTGGCTGCAGCAAACAACAGGAGCTGGCTATTGAGAGAGTCCAACGGCGGGCTTTACGGATCATCTCTCTGGGTGGAAGAAGGGAGGTACCCAACCTTCCCACACTCAGTGAACGACGAGAACTGGCAGCCGTGAAGCTTCTCAAAGCCATGCTAAACGCAGACCATCCCCTCCATGACTTGGTGGAGGGACTGACGAGCACGGGGAGACCCTTAAGGAATGCGGGAGGACTCAGGGTTCCTATGGCAAGAACCTCCAGACTGCAGAGGTCATTTCTGCATCAAGCCATCAGACTCTTTAATAATCAATAGCAGACCTAGTGTTGTTTTTTTTATGTTGTACATGCTGTAATTGTTATGAATCTGTATGTCCTGTTTGTACCCTCGTTGTATATGTAATGGCCAGCGCAATTCAGCAGTCCATATTGTTCTTTATGCACTGCTGCTAGGCTGACCACTGTATTGAATAAAGAATAATAGAATAATAAAGATTGGTCTTCAATTCATCTGGTCTGGTCCAAAGATATACATGTAGATATCAGGTGAGAAAAAATCTGAATTCTGCATTTTGCCTACAGCTACATGTATTTGGTGTTATTGGAGGCAAGTGCATAACTTCTAATGTTGTTAAGTTAGGTGGCTGCTGACTGATGCAGTAGTGAGGATCGAGTCCTGTCTAAAACTGACAAGAGAAGTTTGGACCAGACCAGACTTGATGATTTTAGGCCCAAGAGCAAAACAAAGAGTTTGTACAAGTGAGATAATGCAGGAGGAACCTCTGATGATAGCTGACTTCTGTCCAAACTGACGAGTTAGACAGGTTTGCAAGTTACACCATTTTACGTTTTTGTCTGATGTGTGAAGAAGTCTAAGGCAAGACGATATCTTTAAAAAAATACCTTTGAAAATTTATCATTTCCTTAAAGAGTCATTCAATGTTTTTTTTTCATCACACTCAAAATTATCCTTTCATGTCATTAGGTGTGCATGGTTCTAAGAAACCTGTGATGCCAGGCGACTCCTGTCCAAACCAGACGAGATCAGCAGACCAGTAATATAACTATTGATTTGAAGACACAAAGAAGTGAAGAGTCTGTGCAGCGCCAGGTGAGTCAATGGTTTAGAAATATATAATTTTTTCCCTCTCTTATTGGATGTGAACTCTGAGGCCTAATATTTCCTCTATCTAATCCAAAGAAAGGGATAGTTCAGATTTCTGATGTTTATTCTACATGTATCTTCACCAAGTGTTACCAAGGGATGTTTTTTACATCACGCTAATTATCCTTTCATATCATTAGGTGTGTGCTGAGAGTCAGCTGTCATGTCTGGGAGAAACCTGCGATGATGGCTCAGCAAACCAGTTGACTTGAAGACATCTAAGGAAATGAAGACATTCCAAAAGTAAGTCTCTGTATTCCACAACATCAGTCATACTGATTTAAATATTGATGGATGACATGATTAGCTGATGCGAGCGTAAAAGTTGCCACTCCTTTTCCAAGGCTTTGGACCTTTACACTTCCCCAAACACTTCTCCCACATTGCACTTTCGCTACAATTTTTTAGGTCAAAGACTGGTTGGTGACTTTTGAAGTTCTCTTTGAGTGAAATTGTTTCTTTCTGTTGGGAATAAAGTTCAATGTGGTGTATGATTTTAGCTACATTCTGTCATAAACTTGCATGTTGTTTGACATAATATCTTGTATACTTGGAAGGGTAATTGCGGTTGTCAATCTAGTGACTTTAAATGTTTCTCTGTCTTCAAGATGTGGACTCGGAGACTGGACAGCAGCGGAAGGAAGAACCAGACTTTTGTAGGCCAGGCTAAGTGAAAGAAGATGGGGAGGTGTGAGTATGGTTTCTTTGTTAACACAAGACAACACTCCACATGCTTTCAGAAGCACTCACATTTTTTCTCAGTCACACTACTCTGAGGGTCTGGATGCCTTTTTTTGTGAGAAGCCATTCTTAGCCAGCCCCTTTTTAATTTCAACGTTAAACATTGTCACTTTGGACCCTTCAACTTAAATTCTCCAAACATTGATTTGAGTTAAATTTCCCCACCAAAAAAATTGATGGGCCCTACACTAGTTAAGCACTGTAAGGAAATAAAATTGGCCTCTTTAATTGTTATCCTGAATTAAGCGTTGCAGTAAAATTGTTGCTTTTGATCTGAACACTTACCGAAAAACATGGGCCAATGGGGACCCTCAGTTGGATAATTAATTGGATTAAAATTTTCCCGCCAAAAAACTTAGTATATGGGCATCCTGACCTTTGACCTCTACTCCCTTTCTCTGAACACTTAGCCACCACACTCATGCTAGCTACACTGTTCAAATGCTTTGGACTTTTACACTTAACTTCTCCGAACACTCGTGCTATGTCAGACCAACCTCCCCAAACACGTAGTTACTTGACAAATTTTTTTCTGCCAAAAATTCTACTACTCAGTCAATCGCACAAGACTGCTGGTGTGTCGAAACACCGTGTCTCCGCAAAGACATCCCCAGGGGAGCAAACTTCTGTGCAATGCCGACAGTAGAGATCTTTGGCAGAAAAGAATCAGTCAAATAACTACGTGTTTGGGGAGGTTGGTCTGACATAGCACGAGTGTTCGGAGAAGTGTAAAAGTCCAAAGCATTTGAACAGTGTAGCTAGCATGAGTGTGGTGGCTAAGTGTTCAGAGAAAGGGAGTAAGGTCAAAGGTCAGGATTCCCATATACTAAGTTTTTTGGCGGGAAAATTTTAATCCAATTAAATATCTACTTGTGTGTCCAAATTAGCCTCAGTGTTCAGGTCCAAAGTGACAACCAAGAATTTTTCAGTGATGTTTATCAAGCAATAACAAAATGTGGAATAAAAGCTGTCAATTACATTTCCCAAACAATGCTTAAAACAAATAATTAAGTGAAGGTCCCAAGTCCTTTGGTGGGAAAATTTTGACGTGAATTTAAGTGTGAATAAGGGAACATCCGAGAGAGCATTGGAAAAGTGTGACATAATGTGTGAGTGAGGCCTATATACATCAAGCAACCAAACCTAGCGTCAAAGCCTGGAGGAGAAAACCTCTGGGCTAGGGTAACAAAAATCCACAAAGCCCCTCTCCGTTAGCATAGTAGGCCTGATGATGGACAAAGTTGTTCGTCAACAAGTCTACTACACAGAGTCAAGGCATGTGTAAGTTTGAACCCTGGGACAGAAGTTCCTCCTCCAGGCTAAGCCCAGGGACAAGAAGTGGAAGAATAGAACATACGAAAAGAGAGGAATTGTGTTTTGTCACGTAGTGATAAAAACTGTCTATCAAACTAAATGTTAGCACTGTTTACCAACTTGCAACAATTCAAACCTCCTGCTCCATAATCCAGACCTACATGTAGTCTCAAGCACATCAGATAAAGTCTGTCCGTGTAATGCATCAAAATGTAATTTAGATCAACATGAGACGAGCCCTAAATTTTGCAACAGGAGGTTGGCATTGCCACAACTACATAAACAGTGATAACAAGTCTGATAATCAACTACATGACTTACAAGAATCAGCCAAATAAAATTAAACCCATTATTTCCTCAGCGATTATTCACTCAAAGGTTCTTTCCCTGAGTATTTACAAGTGTTATTATTTATGATATCTCTGTTTTATACAATAATTATTGTCTTTAAAATATGCATCAACTTCAAACTACTGTATACTGTCTTAATGTTACTTTTAGGTAAACTTTTGTTACGATTTCATGGAATTTAAAACTCGGAATAAAACATGAGTCATCTGCAACTGTCTGTCTACATTTACTGTTTGAACGTTTTGGGTAAATTATCTGTCAACTGGAACTGTCAACTATAGTACCTTTGAACCTGAATATACCTTTTAGTTATACTACTTAGAACTTAAACTATCTGTGACATGACTTTGCTACATTTGACATGTAGAAAGAAACTAATGAGTATATAATCATTGTGAAAAGAATAGATGTATTTTTGTTTGGCTGATTCCATACATGTACTAACACAAATCCTCCCTTTCAAACATCACACACAGCTTACATGTAGTACATTTCAATCTACAGAAAGAAAGCACAACATTGCCTTTTTCTATTTTCTGTAAAACAATGGGACATATTTCCAGCAATCATCATGTAACCAAAGTATTTTCCCTGAAATCCACTTCTTCACTGTGAAAGTTTTAGATACTGAACATCACTCACATGTTCAGTACTCTAATTGTTTCCAAAAGGGGCCCTTTGTGTGTACAAAATCTATCAAGATTTCATGTTTTCATAAATTATGTTCATTTAAAAAACCTGGACTGTGTTTCACCTATTCTTTAGTTATTACCTTTGCCAAGAGGGTTGTGTTTTCCATAGCATATGTATGTTATTTTAAAGTATGTGTGTGTCTAAAACTATATGTAATACTATGTGGTTTATCACAATAACTCAAGAAGCTTTAGATGGATTGTCGTGAAACTTAGTGGGTGGGTAAGTCTTGATGAGACTTGATTAGATTTTGGGCCCCCTGGTAGCTTTCCTAAGTACTGCAACAGAACTCCGGTTTTGATATCTCATGATCTAGACATGCTAGGGACACATTAGTTTAGGCCCCCAAGCAGCTGGTTCTGGAACTGCAGGGCAATTTGTTTAAATATCGTTCAGAGATGATAATTCAAGAACCGGCTTACATATTGTCATGATTTTTAGTACGTAGGTGATGCTTGACATCATGAGATGATCATTATGCAAATCAGGAATTAATTTGCATAATAAACAACATTATGGAAAATTGCTATAATTTCATAGTGGTAACTGCCAGGCAGTTCATACTTGCTGAAGTTAAGTGAAGATGAACATCAATAAACATAATTTATTCAAATCATGATTCCATTTGCATAATTTATGAGGAAGTGTCATTGGGTGGAGAATATGACCAACTGATATAATCCATGATAGACATGAAATGAGGATCTTATTTTCATAATCAATGAGAAAATGAATAATTTGTAAATAATTTTTTAAATAGTTGGAATGGTACTGGTAACATCATTTAGCAAAAGTATTTGATTGTGGAACTCTTATAGTCAACTATGAGAGACATGCCATTAGAGAAATGTACAGATTGTCTGTTATATTAATAATTCTACATTTTTAAGATTAGTTTATAAATTTGCTGAAATTAAGCTGGTGCGTTATGCTGAAGGGCGGTTATACCGGCTATACACTACTATACAGATACAGAATAGTAACATATATTAAGGCCACACCAATTTAATTTGTTGGTTCTCGGATTTTTTCAGAAAAAATATGAAGCGACA